GCTATTAGATTCACATTATACGGCAATCTTAGTGTTGAACCGAAGCAAAGGGGAAAGCTGCTTCAAGAGCTACACCTGGAACCCCTATTTGCGGGATGTTACTTCAAATTTAATTGCCATGGCTCAATGCTATTCCATCCTGGGATCTGTAGTTTGGTGAGGCATTAGCATTCTTTGGGAGAGAAGGTTCAAGGCCCTGTAAAACTAGAGCCCCCATGATCCCATAGTGTTGAAGCAAGGCAATTAAAGTGGATTAATCTACAGCATAGAACCACTACAAGGTTTTCTTTTCTGTTGCTCGAAGCTTTGGTGTCTTAACACTTAAAAAACAAAAGCAACTGTAATGTGCACCTTTTCGTGCCAAATGACAAAGTGTGCATTACATTTGGCAGCAAATACTTTTTTTTTTTTTGGTTTCAGGGTTTTGAAAACTGAGGTGCACATTAGATTCAATGACACATTATATTTGAGTAAATACAGTAATATGCCGGTCATGATCTTTTAAGAAATTTGGAAGCATCTTTATTACTCTCTGTGTGTGTATTTATGTGCTGGTAGGGGGAGATGGGAATTAATGAGCTTTTAAAAGCTTATTCAGTATGGTTGGCAATTGATTTACCTGTTCAGTGATGCTTGATTCTACCTCCCTTAAAGTGCTCCAATACATCCACGTAGCACACGTCCTTTTGGTCTACACACATTTTTGTGACGGGTTTGCCGTTGTGCCAGACTACAGGTTCTTCCTTAAGGAATTAAACATTTATTCCTTGTGGGAAACTGGAGATCAAAGACAACCTTTATCTGTAATATTCTCTCTGTTCTCAGCCCTGACATAAAAGCTAAGTGACATGAATGTTCCTTTCTGACAGCATTCGTGGAAAGGAGGGAATGAGCGACAAAATGGGGATCCTTGTAACCAAATGCAAACTGGTTATCTGGCCAGAACATATCTGATTACTTTGTGGCTACAGAGTCCGTTCAGCTCTATCAGGATGAATTGGGAATCCCATGGCAGTCCTTCACAGGATTAGTGTCCTTAGATGATCCACTGCAGAATCAGGGACAGTGAGTCTATATGGGAGGATACTGAGAATCCCTATTGGTACATTCTAAATACTGTTTGGGAGACAATGGTTTAAGCTTTTCACTAAAGTCATGACAAGGATGAGAGTGAGATTTGTGGCCACACAAACTGAATGTTGGCGAATTCTATGAAAAGTCAGATTGATCTTTTCTCCCAGTGTGCCAGGGATAGGCACTCTATTTGTCCTGTGTTATGGTTTTGTTTACTTTTTTTCCTGGAAATTTGACATCACTTGGAGTAATTAACTGAATTATTTCTAATACTTAGTACTGTTTTAATATTTGTATGTTTGTATATTTTAAATTGTATTGGGTACGGTTACATTATCCAGGTGGACTCCAAAAGGGGGCATAGACAGAAAAGGATAGTCCATTGGGTGGGGGTTGAAGGAGGAAAACAATTTCCCCCATTTTTGCTGGTTATTTCCCCCCTCCCTTCCCATGTCAGAAATGACGGTTATTTCGACGACAACAACATGAGTTGGGGGGGGCGGGGCGGAGAATAACAAGAATTTAGAATCCTGGCTGATATATAAATCAATCCTTTAATTTTTGAGGCTTGGCCTGAATATTTGGTGCTTGCTCCGTCTTATTATTCTCATGTCTCCCTGGTTGCTTTGATGGCAGGCCTTTTGAGGGAGGTGCTGCATTTCTAGGCCTGTTCACAAACTCTAAAAATATGTGGGTTGAATGATGAGAGCTTTTCTACCTCTGGTTCAGAGCCACTGGTTGATCCAGGGACAGCGACTGCAGTGCACCCTCAGATCTGGCTTTCTTCTTTTTAACAGATTTTAGAGAGACTGCTAGTCTGTTCAATACTTTATTTGAAGAAGAAGAAAACACTCGCAGCTGTTTCTTGCAGAGTAGTTCAACTTTGTGGTTAGTTGCCAAATTTATTGAATCTAATTTACTTGAACCACAGTGTGTAGCAGGCTTCCAGAAAGTGAGCTGTGGTTTGGTTCCCCCCCAACGTTGTTTCACTGCCATAATAATCTCAAGACAACTTGACTTGATAGATGTGGTCTCAGGGAGGCTTCCCTGTATGCCTTGTAGGCATGTTTGCCTTTGCAGTGCTTAATGCCTTGTTGAGGTAGTTATCTGACACTTCCAGAATGGTGTTTTGTAATGAACCGTTTCCGAATTTGGCCATTGGATTTCCTGTTGCGGACTGTTTCTCTGTCTCCTTCCAAGATTTCATTCTTTGTCAGATAAAGCTCTGAGTTGTATCTTTTGAAAAGAAAAAAAAAACATCAACGGTAATGTAGAATATTTCTTCTGCAATATGGAATCCTCCTTCCCATCTTTTTTTGAATTAATGAGACATTTTCCTTGCTGTTGACCAATTCTGAAAATTGACATCTTTTCTCTCGCAACTGTATGATTTCGCACTTACTTCGTTACTGAAGCTGTTAACAGCTACTTCCAGGCATTAAGAACGTATCAAAGACTGTGGCAATAGAGAAGCAGGCTCAGATTTTTAAGAGAAAGCAGCAATAACTCAGCTGCTGTCAGCAGATCTCTTCTAAGCTTTTTAAGCTTTACTAGAAAAGAGAACAAGAGTTAAATTTAGGGAAGTTGCTTTTCTTCTTGCCTCTACTTATTAACTTTAGAACCTGTAGGATTTGGACAAATAGGGAGGCAGAGAGTTTCCATGCTGAAACTTCCATAATATTTTTGCCCTTTGTAAAGCATAGAATGGTGCCACAGGGCTTTTTTTTACTCAATGTGTCAAAAGACTAGCAACGTATTCATACCTATTGGCTATCGCTGCTTCTTACTTCCCTGCAAGTTCATCTAAAGACAGGCAGCAGTTCATAGATCGGCATCAGTCTACGCATTTTGCGTAGCACTGAATTAGAAGAAAGCACCCTCAGCCTGACCAGTTAATACTGGAAAGAAATCTATATAATTTTAGAAACAATGCATTCTTCAGGAACCTTATTTTATATCTTGAGAAGCATGGCCATTGCCTGGGTAGATTAATCACTTCGTGCAAATTTCGACGATGTAGCTGATCATCCAGCTGGTTGGACACAATTGATAGATGTTATACCATTTTTTACTGCCTCATTATTGCACTTGCTTTTTTTTTTTAAATCAGCAGGAGCCTAGTTCAGCTCTTATGCCTTCTGCTTTTCCCCAACAACCGGAAGTTTCTCAAATGATTGCTTCCCCTGTCTTGGTGCCAATCTAAGGGTAAAATGCAAATGCACTAGCTACAATTTAATTCAATAGAACTGAAATGGCTGGATGTGAAAGATACCACTCCCACTATGTTTGGAGGTATAGGCACCATATGTAGAAAGGCCTTTATTTGGCATGCTCTGTGTTGTTACACAATTGTGATGTCGCAAACCAACATCCGCCCTCAGATTACAAACCTGTGCCTCAATAATGCCACTTGTGTTTCACTCTATAAGTACCCACCTTTACTAAAATTTCCTGAACGTGTGTATCACTCAGTGAGTAGCACTGCATTTCTGTATTCATTTGCAGTATGGATGGGATACATATAAAAGTCATATGTGGGGTTTGTGAAGTTAAGGATCCTTCTCCTTTTCATGTTTGTTGCTATCGCCTTCACTCACATTTCAGGGTTTTCTTATTGCAATTTTTATTATTTACAGAAGAGTTTTCACATTTTATTATGACGATAGTAATGGAGTTAGTGACATAGCTATGGTATTTACTGGGCTTTTGAAACTGATGCTTCTGGAGGCCTGGTTTATGACTGATCCAGGTTATGTTGGCGCTGTGGATCACAATGGCTAAAACTTTATATCAGGCAAGTGCAGTATAATTTCCAGGTCCTCCAGCAATGGTCAAACTCCAGCTGCTTCCCTTTAAAGTTAAGGGTGGGGGACAGTAATTTATGTCCCACCCCAAATGAGTCATATATGTGCATATGCCTGACCAATCTGGATCAGGACTGCAGCGCGAGAAGAGCGTACTTGAATTCTTCACTCCTTGCTTTTTTTACTATCCTGATGAAAATTGATCCTAAGACTGCTATTGGACTCCAAAGATGGACTGGTGTTGTAGCCTTGAAGCAGATCATAGGCCCCCAGTTGTTTGCTGCTTGGCATAAATCTGATTACTTTTGTTAGTCCCCAGATAGAGTCAACCCATTGAATCAACTGTTGAACATTGATTCAACATATAGATCAGTTCTATACATCTGACAGGTCTTCTCTAGTTTTCACCGATAGCAGGATTCAGGCCACTTGACAATTGGTTTCTATGAAAGGAGATATCCCTTTTATCATCCGTTTCTCTGGATATTTTATCCAATTAGACTTCATCTATCTTAGCGCTGTCTTAGCATCATCAGTGTACCATGAACTAGTGGTAGCTTCTGCACTAGTCCTGCTGAGGCTCTGTCCTGGGTGCTGAATAACATTTGAAAGCCATGTTGTTCATGTAAATTGTGGAAAGGTAACAACTTCTTTTATATCAGTTGCTGGATCACACTGTTTGAGGGGAAACGTGTGTAGATAGGTGACTTGATGTTATTTTAGTATTATCAGTGCTTCTCAATAAACAAATTCTGTCCTGAAATGATAACAACTGTATTAAATGAGATGAGTGGCAGAACGTTCAAATCTACTTCTGTCGGTTTAATGGGAAAAGAGAAACCAGGGATCTAAAGAACAATTAAAACAGACTGAATTAGAATTTAATAGGCAAATAAAATATTAACCTGTAGATTGATTTGGCATGCAATACATCATCTTGTATTGGCTGATGTGAAGAGGCAAAGTACTTCATTTAGGTCAGTATGATGAATTCTCATCTTAGTTTGGAGTATTATTTTTAATGCCATTTTAAATGGTATGTTCTGAATCTGATTTGGCATTCTGTGCTGCTGGGGATACTCTAGCTAATGGTATGTCTCCTGTTCCCCTTGACTTCACCAGCTGGAGATGCTGATGATCCACCAAGAATTACTCAAAATCCAGTCATCAATGGGAATGTGGCAATGGCTGATGGCCACAACAACACAGAAGAAGACATGGAAGACGGTGAGTCATCCTCCAGCTTCCTTTGTCTGTCCTTTGCCTTGAACAGTGCGTTGTTGCCAAAGGCGTTTTGTAAGCCCTTTGGTACATTTGAGTTATTGGGCTGTTTTGCCAACTCACATTGGGGCAAGGGTTTGATGTTTTGGGGGAACCAAACTGCTTCACGGTTCTCTTTTTCTTCCGCAGACACAAGTTGGCGGTCAGAAGCAACCTTTCAGTTCACAGTCGAGCGTTTTAACCGGCTGAGCGAGTCAGTCCTAAGCCCCCCCTGCTTTGTCCGAAACCTGCCCTGGAAGATCATGGTGATGCCGCGGCTTTACCCGGACCGGCCACACCAAAAAAGTGTAGGATTCTTTCTTCAGTGCAATGCTGAATCTGATTCAACGTAAGACCCTTCAGATCAATTTGCGTATTTTATTTTACCCCCATTTTGTCTGTTGCAATTTCTTAAGATGCATATTCCTGTATAATAAAACAACATGAGAGGAATGTCAGTAAGCTAGGAATAGTATTGTGGGAGAGTCTAGAGTGTGTACTGATGCGGTGAGGGGAGAAATGGGTTGTGAGGCCCATTGAGAAGACTGAGTAGGCCTGGCTTGAGGCCGTTGACTTGCCGACACCTGTAATGCAATAGTGCAACACATTACTTTTTTTAAAAAATGTAATGAATCATAGTAACTTGTTATCCCTTAAGTTACTGCTATTTGAACTGTGGGTCCCAACTCCAAATAGGGTTCCCTCAGTGGTGGGGGCCACCAAAAATTTGGCAAAATTGCAAGGTTTCTGAACGCCACCCATTTACTCAAATCTGTGAGCAACAACATGCCGTCCTTACAGTGGCTTCAGCCATACGATCCAAGGAAATCAGCCTGTTTAGCAAGTCTTGCCCATGCTTCTGTATTATCACCAGTAACTGTTTGGTTTTTAATCTATTTTATACACCTGTATACTGGGGTCATGTAAAAATGTCTCAGGTCAAAAGGAGTTGCGAGTGAGTGGGAAAAGTTTAAGAAGCCCTGCTGTAAGGCACTGCATTGTAACAAGGACAAATTGCAGTGGGAAAAACACAACTTTCTAAGCCTTGTCTAGAGTATTCCTCATTCCTTCAGGGCTGCAGTATTCTCGGGAATCTCAGAGGACACAGTCCAATGGAATGGAAAATTTCTGTGGGAAGCAATCCATAAGAGCAGCTCTTTGAGAGGCAGAGCTTCTTCCCAAATGTCTTCTTCTGTATTAATAATTACTGATAGCCCCAGGAGTGTGCAGGCAAAGTTTTAAACCTGAAATATGACAAGAAGCAAAGTAGTCAGGGCTTGGCAGAGCGCAGTTTACGAAAGCCCCTTCTGCTTCTTGTATGTCAAGTGTTCTCTCTCCTAATTGCTGCAGGTCGTGGTCTTGTCATGCCCAAGCGGTGCTCAAGATCATCAATTACAAGGACGATGAGAAATCTTTCAGCCGCCGCATCAGCCACTTGTTCTTTCACAAGGAGAATGACTGGGGCTTTTCCAACTTCATGTCATGGAGCGTAAGTGATGAGGCTGGGCCTCTTGAAATGCCTATGTGACATTTGCCAACAGAGGAAAAGGCTGGGCTCCAACTCATTGGGCCAAATGATCTCCCTCTCCTCATAAGAACCCAGCCTAACTTACTTCGCAGGGTTCTTATGAAGACAACAGGGGTGTAAAAGAGGGAGAACAGTGTGTCGCCAAAATAAAATAAATTCACATAAAAATGGTATAGAGCCATGGTCATTGTGTTCAGCTGTTAGGCATTGTCCTCCTAATTCTACCACCAAAAGGCACTTTTCCTGGATCTGCACCAAACATGCCCCTGACAGTTGCAAGACTGAGAAAGGGACTTCTACAACAAATCCCAAACCTGGACAGGATTACATGGAAAAATACAGCCTTTGCATGTATATATGCCCACTGTTATACCAGTTTCACTATCATATCAACTTGTCTTAGAAATTGAGAGTGAGTTCCAATTCATTTCTGTAGGGAAGCAAATATGTGTCTTTCTCTTCTCCTTATGTGTATACAGTTGTCAAGTTCACATCTAATTGCCATTTGTTTGACCACTTGAGGCGTGTTGGTATCATTCAGTCAGTAATTTATAAAATTCTTTTGTAAGGTTTAACAGAAAGCTTCCCAGAAAGACTTTCTAGTCTGGCAGGTTTTGATTTGCAAATAGGACAGAAGCATGCAGAAGCCAAGAGACGTTTTTGTAGTTGGTTGTAATGCTCTTGTTGTCCATTTTTCTTCTTTTATAGGAAGTTACTGACCCTGATAAAGGTTATATAGAAGATGATAAAGTAACTTTTGAAGTTTCTGTTCAAGCTGATGCTCCGCATGGTGTGGCGTAAGTAGCGTATGCTTTTGGAAAGATAGGTCTGACAACTATAGGGATGCTATATTTTCCCCTGTCCAACTTTAATATTATGTTGTAGTTGAAATTTTTTTTTACTTGGATTATAAATATTTCTAAAATCTCAAATTGGCTGTTAGTTTTTGCCTAGAATGTTAGAAAAGCGGGAATCTTTTGCATTGAATCCAAGATCCCTTACTCTTTCCATGTTCACATAGTTTAATTGTTGTGAACGGAGAATAAACATTAAGTGGAGAAGAGAAGTGCTTTGGAATTTTTGTCCATATTGAACATTACTCAATGTGGATTGGTCTATTTTAGAAAACAGAGTACTTTCCAGTCAGTATAATGCTCCAGAAATCCCTTACCATCTTCCTAGAATGATGAAAATAAATCTGTGGCATCCCCCTCTGGTTTCATTAAACATTACAAACCCTGATGAGGACAGCCCAGCCCTCAGAGTGCCAGGGAAGAATTCCTTTATCCCAGGACTTCATGAGGAACAAAACTGAGTAGTGACCATTGCACCTTTTGAGGCAAGGCTCCACTCCAGAGCTCTTTCGCCATGGCTAGAGGTCTTTTAGCCAAGGAAAGCAGAAAGGAACAACTATGGCATAAAAAAAAGGTTGAAATCTATAGGTAGGAAGCTGACAAGGCTTCTCTTATCACTTCAGTTAGAGACAGCTGGAGACTCTGAGCTGCTTGTGAATCCCATTGTTGGAAATAGGTTTTCATTTATTCTATCTGTTGTTCTTGTAATTCGACCCCATTTTTGCCGTAGCTGGGATTCCAAGAAGCACACAGGCTATGTGGGGCTGAAGAACCAGGGAGCAACCTGCTACATGAACAGTTTGTTACAGACTCTATTTTTCACAAACCAACTACGGAAGGTAAGCAGGAAGGGTTTTTATCCCCCCATTCTCAATATACAACTAAATTGTTTTAGCCGTTGCTCAACTGCAGTGGTTTACAGATGATATGACCTGAGTCAGGAAGTGATGTGTTTTATCCCCAAAGCAAGCTTCCCAGTTCCCTGCAGTGTGTGCAGGTTTATTGTCAAAATGATGCTTTCTCATTTAGTTGCTGCTGCTGTTTTCTAGTAGCTAGGCTATATCTCCCTTTAGCTGGGCTGTGCCTTCCTTTGCAGCTGTGACCATGGTTGTGCATTGCTGCTGTGGACTGGGCCAAAAGCCCATGCTCTGGGAGGATCTCACATAGGGTTAGGCCAGGTGCTGGAAGGCAAGCATTGACAGTAGAAAAAATGCCAAGCAAGCAAAAGAATGTCATAGAGCAGTCCTGCACAACTTGGCAGCAGCAAGGGGATGACATTGAAATAGGCGAAACACTCTTCAGGCCGCAGATGTGTTTTTTAGCACATCATTTTCCAGGTAAAGGTATAATAAATGAATAAACAATTGGGCAAATAAACAATGTGTATAAAAAAGGGGAAGTTTCCATTAATACTAATTAAAATGTTTATTTATTATGAAATTACATTCATGTGAAAAAAAAACAAATGTGGTTTGTGCTGCCTAGCCATCATAACATGCTAATAATGAGTGTTTTTCATAATTAGTATTAGAAAATGCAAAATGCATACTCAAATAATGCCACGTACAAAAGCTAGTTATTGATAAATTGTTGTCTTGAGTGAGTCACACTCTCTCAGCCTTGAGTCACACTCTCTGCCTCATAGAAAAGGGGCAAGCAAACTGTTCTTCTACCAGCACTAATGGCTGACACTGAGCAATAAAATCAATTCAGTTCCAATGTATTTTATACATATTTTAATCAGCCATTGCTTCTTTGCCACCAAATACAAATAAGGCACACGCTTAATCTGACTGTCCCTCCACAGATCCAAGAAGTACACTATTTCAACGCATAACCTTTCTTGTGGAGCAACATCCTTTTAAAAATATTTCCAAGGAAAACCCATGCTTCCTTTGCATGGTCACTGTGAAATGCACACATATGGGTTTTCTGAGCCTGTGCAGACAGATTCAGAACTCTCTAGAATCTTAGTAGGATACTTTTCGGTGGTAGCCCCACCCATGCTCCCCCCATAGTATATATAGTCAGTAGGTGGGGCTGCCACTCACTCACTTCTTTCCAAGCAATTTTCCATTATATGCACTATTTCTTTCCGAGGTATTCTCCGCCAGACTTCAAAAGAATCTTTGGGCAGCTATTGCAAAATATTTTAACTGATGTTGTTCTGTGCGACCATTGTTTGAATCCAGGAAGAAACAAATAGAGGTATGGGATGCCCCCCCCCCCCAAATCATTCTAATTGAACCAATCCTTTTTAAAGGCTGTGTATATGATGCCCACAGAAGGGGATGATTCATCAAAAAGTGTCCCTTTAGCCTTGCAAAGGGTGTTCTATGAGCTTCAGCACAGCGACAAGCCAGTAGGAACAAAGAAGCTAACAAAATCTTTTGGGTAAGTACTTTTTTGGCAAGATATATCAGGTTGGGGCAAAGGTTTCACCTGAGCATCTTAAAACTAGTTTCTGTATTAGTTGAATTTAGGTATGGACTCAGTTGTGTTTACATTTTATTCTGAGTAGTGCCCATTTTAAGTTGATTGTTCTGTGATTACGAATCAGTTTATGCCTTCATAGAGGTACAATCCATTCCTGAGGAAGCACTGTACATTTCCTTGATTCTATATTACAACATCTTTTACTGGCATACACTAACAAGATCACAGCACCGACATGTATAACAAAAGGAAGCCACAAATACAAAAAGAAAAACATGATTAAGAATTACTAATCTAGAGAATAAAACTTGCAACAGTCTTGCAAAAGAATGCATCAGAGTTGTTCAGGGGGTATGGAATTTTATAACCTGTTTCATCCGTATCTTATCATATTTGGGGCATACAAACAAAAAATGGTGAAGTGTTTTGACAAAAACTAAGTCACAAGATTCTATATTACTTCATTTCTATCCTACCATCCCATTTTTTTTTAAAAAGGGAACTCTAGGGAACTATCAGCTTTACTGAAGACAAACCCAGTTATGAAACCATTACAATCACTAGAAGGCATTCCTCATTTTCGTTAATTGCACCTTCATTGTTTAGTTTTGAACAAATGTTTCTGATACTTGTCAATGCCCCCCCCCCCCCCGAAATGTGATTATTTCTTAAGTGGCCATTTTTGTTTCGGTTTTTAAATAAAGATGGGAGACGCTAGACAGCTTCATGCAACATGACGTCCAGGAGCTTTGTCGAGTGGTACGTATTGTTTCCTCTCATTCCACTATTTTTCTTTGTTATGTATTTCTGCCTCTTATTTCAGCAATAGACTAATCCAGTGAGAAGATCCCCTGCAAAAACAAAACAAAATTATAAAAAAAACCCACAACTAAATCATTAAAAAAAACCCTAATACTGTATTTTAATTTTCTTCAGCCCAAAAAACGAAACCAGCCAAAACCATAGTCACTTTGAAACTGGAGTTTACTGGATTCTCCCTGCTCTGGGCTTTCAAAGGGACACACAAAGATACAGGGATAACACACATCTCCCTAACTAATGCAAGCCTTGTGTTTTCTTCCAGCTGCTTGACAACGTTGAAAATAAAATGAAAGGCACCTGTGTCGAAGGCACGATCCCAAAATTATTCCGGGGCAAAATGGTGGTAAGTTTTTTTATTGCCTTTGGGGACTGAGATGCTCCGGTTCTTGTTGGCATCAACAAATACCTTGCTCTTTTTATTTGATTTGCAGTCTTACATCCAGTGCAAACACGTAGACTACCGGTCTGAACGAATAGAGGATTATTATGACATCCAATTAAGTATAAAGGGAAAGAAGAATAGTAAGTATACCCTCCTCTGTTGGGAGCCCTTTTGCCTTCCTTATATTGCAGCACCATTTCTTTTTGGTATTTCCAAGTAACTAAGATGTATCTTCCTCTCTCTCTTTCAGTATTTGAGTCCTTCATCGATTACGTAGCAGTGGAACAGCTGGATGGAGACAACAAATACGACGCAGGGGAACACGGTTTGCAGGTACACAAGACCTCATTCCGGGTCCGTGTGCCTAATTACCAGTCTCTCTCTTGTTAAATTACCTACATCGCAATTTTGAGACTAAAGTATATTGGCTAACAGGAGTTCAGTTGTCGATGCTTGTTTGTCCCCCACCCCCCCACCCCCAATCTCACGCAGGAAGCCGAGAAAGGCGTCAAGTTCATAACGCTGCCACCGGTGTTGCATCTGCAACTCATGAGGTTCATGTACGATCCCCAGACCGACCAGAACATCAAGATAAATGACAGGTAAATAAATGCCACATTGTTTTGCAGCCCAAACCAAGATATTATGAAAATCTAACAGATGGCCGCCATTTGAAATCAGGGTATTTCAGTTTATTCTGTAAAGGCTTTTAATCAGAAGCTGAATGGCCATCTCTTGGGGTGCTTTGATTGTACTTTTCCTGCTTGTGAGATTGGGGTTGGACTAGGTGGTCCTTGGAGACCCCTTCCAACCTATTTTCTCTTTGAGATATCAAGTAACCCAGGCATGGGTAAACTTCGGCCCTCCAGGTGTTTTGGACTTCTACTCCCACTACTTACCCATACCTGATAGTAGCCTCATGAAAGCCTTATTCTTATATTCTACTTTCTTCTCTGCTTTGTTTTTTCCCCTTTTCAGGTTTGAATTTCCAGACCAATTGCCTCTGGATGAGTTCTTGCAAAAAACAGATCCGAAAGATGCTGCAAACTACATCCTTCACGCTGTGCTTGTACACAGCGGGGATAACCATGGTGGACATTACGTCGTGTACTTGAACCCCAAAGGGGATGGAAAAGTAAGTGTTGAAGAAGGAGAAAGCCATGTTCCTTGTGGGATTTGACTTCTATGCTTCCTTAATACAGTAGGACCACCACTTAGGAATGCAGGATACCCACAACAATGGAAAAACCCAAATTTAAAAAGCCTGAGAGATCACCTGTTTTGGAATCTGTGGATCCTCCAGGCCAACTTCTACACTTTTTAAAAGAAGTTTGACCTTCAAAAGTGGCCATTCCCAGTTAAAATCAAAAACATTAAAAGGAAGAAAAGGACACTCTTCTTACTCCTTTTTAGTCTACAAGAGGAAAGTTTGATTTTCTCTCTCACACTCTCTTATCTCAAATGAATTAACTTGAGTTTTAAAACCGAGGCTGATTCTGAAATTGCAAAGCAGCATTGAAATAGGTGATCTCTGAAATGTCAGAATTGAAATCACTACTGAAGAGTTTGTGTAGAATTCTGTAATTTTTTTTACCATTTGGTAGATACTAGTGTGTCAAGCATACCAGGGAAAATAGTTATTGTTATTCTTGATAGAAGGTATTATTATTATTATTATTATTATTATTATTAGTAGTAGTAGTAGTAGTAGTAGTATTTAGTATTAAACCATCATTATATCACTGTTGTTTTGTTGTTGTTGTTATACCATCATTATCATAATTAATTTGTTATTATTTGTTTATTTATTTTACAAATTGTAAGACATTAAAACAACATGTAACACACAGTCAATCAATCAGGTCTATTAGCTGTCTAATCCAGCAGCACCCTACTCCAACCAGGTGACTTATTTTGTAGCCAACTGGATGGTTCTGGGTAGGGACACACAAAGTGGTTTCCAGTAAATTCATTGCAAAAATTCAATGCCTTACAACATATAAAAAACTAGTATAAAAGCAACTGTAACATATAACTATAAATTAAATTAAACCATATTAAATATAGAAACAACAACATAATTACATGTTATTATTAATTTTATTGTTGTTATTAATAATAAGAAAAATAAAGTTAATACCCAGCTCTCCTTCCAGCTAGAGGTGCGGTAGTAAATGTCATAAATGTCACTACCAGGGTGGAAGTATCCAGGTCAGGACTTTATTTCAGCAGTGTATTGTATCTGTAGTTGAGGTACAATATCAACTCTTTGCCTTTCCCCCCCACAGTGGTGTAAATTTGATGACGACGTCGTCTCTCGGTGTACAAAAGAAGAAGCCATTGAGCATAACTATGGAGGCCACGATGATGACCTATCTGTACGGCACTGTACGAATGCATATATGTTGGTTTATATCAGGGAGTCAAAACTAAGTACGTATACATATAAGTACATATGCATGTGCTTGTCTGTTGAAATGTAAACCAAACTGTCTTAGTGTTGTATATGTATGTATTTAGCAGATGCTTCTTACCTTCTGTTAATAAGTGTTTACATGGAAAACTGTTGATGTTTGAAATATGGGTAAAAACCAGAGGATATAGTTTACCTGAAGATGACCGTAACAGATTAGAGAGCTGATTGCCCCAAACTAATAAAACAAATTTCAGCAGGGAGAAATAGAGATGCACAGATACAAGATGGGTGATGCCTGGCTTGAAAGGAGTCTTAGTGAACAACAGTGTGATGCAGCAGCTAAACTCAGTGCAATCCTAGACTGCATCAATAGTATAGTGTCTAGATTGAGTCCCACTCTCTTCTGCTTTGGTCAGACCTCACCTGCAGTAATAGGAGCCCCTGGTGGTGTAATGGGTTACTCTTGTGCCGGCAGGACAGCTGACTGAAAGGTCGGTGGTTCAAATCCAGGGAGCGGGGTGAGCTCCTGTCTGTTAGCTCCAGCTTCTGATGTGGGGACATGAGGGAAGCCTCCCACAGGATGGTAAAACATCCAGGCATCTCCTGGGCAATGTTCTTGCAGACAACAGCCAATTCTCTTGCACCAGAAGCGATTTGCAATTTCTCAAGTCGCCCCTGACATGAACCCCCCCCCCCCCCCCCCCCAAAAAAAAAAAACACCTTGCAATAATAGCCCTGTGTCCAGTTCTGGGCCCCACAGTTCAAGAGGAATATTGATCCTAACCTGGAACATGTCCAGAAGAGGGCAACTAAAAGGATTCATGGTCCGGAGACCATGAATCCTTATGAGAAGATGGTCTGTTTAGCCCGCAAGAGAGAAAGTTGAGGGGAGACATGAGAGCCATGTCTAAATATTTGAAAATATGTCCTAAGGAAGAGGGAGCAGGTCATGTCCTCTTCTTCCCTGGCGACTAGGACTCAATGGAGCAGTGGGCTAGGATTACAAGAAAGGAGATTCCACCTCAGCATTACGAAAAACTTCCTGACCGTAAGAAGAGTGGTTCACCGATGGAACTCTCAAAATGTGGTGGAAGCTCCTTCCTTGGAGGCTTTTAAGCACAGGCTGGATGACCATCTGTCAGAGGTGCTTTGATTGTGCTTGTCCTGCATGGCTTGGAGTCGAATTGGATAGCCCAGACAGTCTCTTCCAACTTCTTTATGATTCTATGGGTCAAAAGTAATAGAAATGCAGGAAGAAACAAAAATTTGGTAATGATAACCATCCTTTGCATTAGGGTAATAATCCTGTCAGTCCTGACTGCTGTTAACATCCCATCTCTCCTTCTTCCATAGTATTTGGTTTTATGTGAATGAAAGGTTTTTCAAAGGCTACCACTCTTTTTTTAATGGCTTATTTCTCCTAGGTGAGGTTTTGCAGGCTGTCACTGACCATGATATTCCTCAGCAACTCGTGGAACGGCTTCAGGAAGAGAAGCGAATAGAGGCTCAAAAGAGGAAGGAGAGGCAGGAGGCTCATCTCTACATGCAAGTGCAGGTCAGCTTGAGCAAGGAGTTTTCTATTTTCCAAATGCTGCATTGCTTCCTCTGAATGCTTTAATCCTATTCTAACCATTATCTGTAAACATGAGGTGGCTCATGGTTAGGGACAAAGGTCAGCAGAAGAGAATGGCTGGCTGATAGGGTCCCTGAGCAGGATTTGAATCCCAGTCTCTACAGCCAAAGCCCTGCACTCTGGTGGGAATTGGGTCTTCATCCAGAAGAAATGCTGTATCTAAAAGGACTGAAACATTTTTTTAACCCAAGACTTAGGCCAAAGCCAAGTGGACTTAGGACCCTTTTGTGCTAAAAACCAACTTGTCTCTTCAATTATAACCAATGTTATTCAATTAAATCATGATGCTGTTCTATTCCCTGTTGGCGGTGATTGACATCACTGAGTTTGGGAGCTCTGTGTTCTTTCTTAGGGCCTCGTCACAATAGAGAAAAAATGCTGGCGATTTTAATCTGGCGAGCAGGTTCTTAATGCATATTTAGAATTCTTTTAATTTTGTGGATGTATTTATTATGTGTTTTATATTATGTTTGGTATTGAATTGTTGCCTGTTTGGAAGCCATTCTGAGTCGCTCCGCGGAGGTCGAGAAGGACGGGGTATAAATGTTTAAAATAAATAAAAAATCCACTTAAAATCTGGTTGCTGCCTCCTGCAGAATTCTGTGGTTTCTAGTTTAGGGAGGAGCCTTTAACAGCCTCTCTAAACTACAAACCCCAGAATTCTGCAGGAGGCAGAACTGGATTTTAAGTGGATTTTTTCTCTAGTGTGATGAAGTGCTTAGTCCTCCTTTCAAAGTACATCTCTCTGGTCTTGTGTTAGTATGGTACCATGTTCTTGTTAACACATGATAGCTGAAGCTTCAAACCATATGGATCATGAACATAACACTATATACATTAGTATGATGACATGTGTTACCACAGTTAGGGTTAGGATTTGTGAGGCCCTTTAGGTGTTGGGATACAACTCCCAGCAGAGCCAATGATGAGAAATACTGAATTACAGCTCACCGCCCTCCATAGAAATATCCTTGAGTGGCAGAAGACTTCAATGTTCCAAAATGTGTTGCCAAGAATCCTTTATCCATTTTCTCCTGGTTTGCGTTGGTGCTGCTTTACAATGCATTTATTAGGTTTTTGACCAGTCATGGAGGTTTGTTTTGGAGTCCTTACCAAGCACCATGTTGACCCTCAAAGCCTTATTGCTGTGGTGTGGCTTCATGTCATTTTCAGCTTCTGAGAGATTGAGGAGGAAATCATTGTTGAGTTTTCTTGGCAAGATTTCTTCAGATGGGAGTTACCCTGAGAGAATGTGACTTGCCAAAGGCCACCTAGTTAGATCCCCATGGCTGAGTGAGGATTCAAACCCTGGCCCCCAAAGCCCGGGTCCACCACACAAGCCACAGTGCCATTCTGACTCCTCTTAATTAGTACTGTTAGTACTTATGTACTTAGTGGTATATATACCACATTGACTGGAGTCTAATATGTCATCGAATCTAATGCACCATTCCATTTTTAAAACCCTGAAACCAAAAAACGTAGTTGCTGCCTAACGTAATTTGCAGCGGCAAAAAGTGCGCTCTTTATCATATGACCACTACAGTTGTTGCCTGCTTGGAAGTCCTTCTTTAAAAACAAAAGTGTTATAGCACCAAAGCTTCCAGCAACGGATAGGAAAACGTTGGGATGCATCTATGAATTAATCCACTTTTATTGCCTTGGTTCAATGCTATGGAGTCATGGGGGCTGTAGTTTTACAAGTCCTTGAGTCCTCTTTGCCAAGGAAGGCTGATGCCTCACTCAACTACAAATCCCAGGGTCCCATAGCATTGAGCTCTGGGCATTTAACTTGAGATGAGGTCCCTCAAAGAGGAGCATCAAGTACAGCTCTTGAAGCAGCTTCCATATGGTTTGCCTCAGCACTAAGATTACTGTGTGATGTGAATCTAATGCACACCTTAATTTTGGCGAGGTCGTTTAGCCAAAAAAAGGTGAGCATTGGATTGGAGTAAATAGTGGCTGTAAGGCCAAGTATTTTAAGGACGGTGAGTGAAACTCCCACTTGTGAAGCCACGTTCATTCCTTAGCAATCCCATTAACAAAAAGCCCATCTTCTTCCAGATCGTAACAGAGGACCAGTTCTGTGGCCACCAAGGCAACGACATGTATGATGAAGAAAAAGTGAAATACACCGTGTTCAAAGTCTTGAAGAACTCAACACTTGCAGAGTTTGTCCAGAATCTTTCTCAAACCATGGTGAGTGTTTTCTGTGCAGCTCTACCTTCTGCTTGTGTCCCCTTTGTGTGATGCCATTTCTTTTCCATGTGCTTTTAACTAGGGTTTCTCCCTGACCTCCTCTTTTGCAGGGCTTTCCGCAAGATCAAATACGACTGTGGCCCATGCAGGCGCGAAGCAATGGGACAAAGAGGCCGGCCATGTTAGACAATGAAGCCGACGGCAATAAAACCGTGAGTGTGCATTGGGGGATATTCTCACATTTCAGTGTGGAGTCTTGCACTCAGATGTAAACAGCTGCCAATGAAATACGTGCTTCCATATAAGGATTTAGTTGCTCAGCTTAGGGTCCCCAACTTGGCCTGCTTAAGGCCCATTTCTTACTGCAGATTTCAGTCAAGTCATGTTAGCATAAAACTTTAAACAAACTTTTAGCTTAACTGTATGGTTTAATTGGATTCTCGTCCCATTCTTTCTTCCACTTCAAAATGTGATTAAAGTAAAGGTAAAATTTTCCCCTGTCGTTAAGTCTAGTCGTGTCTGACTCTGGGGGTGGTGGTGCATATCTACATTTCTCAGCCAAAGATCTGGTGTTGTCCATAGACACCTCCAAGGTCATGCGGCCAGCATGACTGCATGGAGCACTGTTACCTTCCCACAGAAGTAGTACCTATTGATCTACTCACATTTGTATGTTTTCGAACTGCTAGGTTGACAGGAGCTGGGGCTAACAGCGGGAGCTCACCCCACTCCCTGGATTCAACCTTTCAGCCAGCAAGCTCAACAGCTCAGCGGTTTAACCTGCTGTGCCACCAGGGGCAAAATGTGATTAGAATTATATAAAAAACTGTTTGTATTGATACCATATTTGATGACATTATCATCACACTTTTTATCTCCCTCTTAACTAACCAGAAAAGGGACTATTATATGAGAAATAAAAAAATCTGCCACATTGATTTTCCGGTTTTACCTTGAAGGCAGAAGGACAAGGAGGGGGAGGACCCAGAGTCTTTGTTTTTTTGCCTAGGAAGAAGAAGGGGGAAGGTCCTTCCTTCCTTCTCCAAAGAAAAGACATTTTACAAAATCTTAAATTGAGCTCTTTGGAGAAAGGTGGAAGAAGGGAAAAACAGAGCTCCAGGAACCTCCAGGTTTTTTAAACCGCCTGGCCTTCAGAGAAGGAAGGAAGGGGTAATCAGCCCCAAATGTCTGGAGACAGACAAAAATACAGTTTTTGCCACCTCCAAAAATAGTGGTGCAACTATGATATGGTAGCAGCTATTGTGCAGTGAAATACAGGTAGTCTTGATTAGTTGTACCGTGTTTGGGATTGAGTAATTATGTAGAGTCCCTTCTTTGACCATGCAGATGATTGAACTCAGTGACAATGAAAATCCATGGACAATATTCCTGGAGACAGTCGACCCAGAAATGGCTGCGACAGGAGCAACGTTGCCCAAATTTGACAAAGACCGTAAGTTAGGCACTTAAGGATGTCGATGTGGCTCCAGAGGAGGAGCTTGTAAGGTGAGGGATCGGGGGACCGGCTTTCTTCTATGGAGAGAAAAAACACATCTTGTTTCTTCACTGTTTCAGATGATGTCATGCTATTCTTGAAAATGTATGACCCAAAGACTCGGAGTTTGAACTACTGTGGACATATCTACACACCTATATCCTGCAAAATACGTAAGTTCCTGAGATCAACCACATTAGAGAGTTGTGCCATGGATAGTTTTTATATGTCCTCAAAGGGAGTCTGTATAAATTCAAATGTTGGTATGTTTTGTTTTTTTTTGTTTTGAATTGTATTGTATTGGTTTTACTGTTAAGCCTCTTTTTTGGAGAGAAATGTGGAGTAATAATCATAATCATAATAATGGTAATGGTAATAATAAATATAATTGTTTGGAAGTCTACCTAGATTCATTTTAGCACAAAGTGGCAACAGCAGCATATGCCACCAAATCCAGATTCTAGAAAAAGCAGGATTTGTGCATTATTTCTTTAAGGTTGTGGAAAGTACGCCATTATTTTATGTCTAGTGTTCTTCTATCTCCCAGTACCCCAAATTCTGATAACTGCGTAATTTCATTATGTAATTTCCCCAATCATGCTAGGGTGTCATGTTTGGAAAGATTTCTAGAAGCAGTATTTTGGAGTCGTTACCAAAGCAATAATGATGTTCGTTTACCTGTTCCTTCTTCAAAGGTGACTTGCTGCCAGTTATGTGTGAAAGAGCAGGATTTCCCCAAGAATCTAATCTTATCCTCTATGAGGTTTGGAGCACTTCTTTTTCTTTAAGCTTTCTGTCATTCACTCACCAGATTATTTATTTATTTATTTTGCATATTTGCATCCCGTGCTACTCACCCCCGGAAGGGGGGACTCAGGGCGGCTTCACAACAGGCAATCATTCAATGCTAACAACAGTAATAAATGATAAAAGCAATTAAAACATAAAATTACTAAAACATTGTTTACATTATGCAGGTTTGAAATCATTAGAGATTTCATAGGTAATTAGCATTAGAGAAATCATAGAAAAAAACGGGAACTCTTTATTTTGCTTTTGCAAATGCAGGATTTAACTCTGAACTTCCATTTGAAGAAATGTATTTTGAGTTTTCACAGTATCATATAACCCAATTGTTAGTATTACGAAGATGCATTTGTTATACAGCAATAACATATTCATAGCTAGATGGATGGATGGGTAGTTAGATAGGTAGGTAGATAGGGTTTATTAACTCAGATTGTGAGTGGGAAAGAGAAGAAGGGATTGAATCAATACATCTGTAAATTAAGGAAGATTTATAATATAAATAAAGACTTTAAAAATAGGAAATAAAAGTTAGATTATCTTTGCAGCAGCCAATCATTTAGCAAACTTTCCAGGAAGAAGATACAATAAAATTATTGGGTTGCTGTGAATTTTCCGGGCTGTATGGCCATGTTCCAGAAGCATTCTCTCCTGATGTTTCGCCCACATCATAAGGTGGTGAGGTCTGATGGAAAGTAGGCAAGTGGGACTTATATATCTGTGGACTAATGTCCAGAGTGGGAGAAAGAACTCTTTTCTGTTTGAGGCAAGTGTGAATGTTGCAATTTGCCACCTTTATTAGCATTGAATAGCCTTGCAGCTTCAAAGCCTGGCTGAATCCAGCCTGGAGGAATCTTCTGTTGGGAGGTATTAGCTGGCCCTGATTGTTTCCTGTCTGGAATTCCTCTGCTTTCAGAGTGTTCCTCTTTATGATACTGTCCTGATTTTAGAGTTTTTTTTTAATACTCTAGCCATATTTTGTTCATTTTCATTGTTTTCTCCTTACTGTAGAAATTGTCCACATTCTCTAAAATCAGGACAGTAAATAAAGAGCAACACTCAGAAAACAGGAGAATTCCAGACAGGAAACAATCAGGGCCAGCTAATCCCCCCCCTACACACACACACACACACACACAAAGGATTCCCCCAGGCAGGATGCAGTCAGGCGTTGAAGCCACAAGGCTATTCAATGCTGATTAAGCTGGCCAACTGCAACATTCCCACTTGTCTCAAGTGAGAGTTCTTTCTCCCACCCTGGACATTCCACAGATATTTAAACCCACTTGCCTAGTTTCCAACAGACCTCACAAACCCCTGAGGATGCCTGCCGTAGATGTGGGCGAAATGTCAGGAGAGAATGCTGCTGGAACATGGTCATAGAGCCAAGAAAACTCACAGCATCGCAGTGATTCCTGCCATGAAAACCTCCGACAACACAATGTAAAATATATCAAATAATGTCCCTACTATAATATTGCTGTGAGATATGCACAACACAGTCTCAAATTATGCAAACTCTTGGGTATACATTGCTTTCAAATGCATTGAATTAAACCCAGTTTAGATAGTTGCAATCAAAAGTCTGCAACAGCATGACTTTGAATTAGATGCATGCACATTTCCTTTTGAAATAAATCATTTCAAGTGCTTTTGAGGTCCAATATTTAATGAAATAAATGATTTGTTGAAGGAAAGAAAGAAACATTTCCGAATCTGTAACAGCTTAAGCGAAGGAGTGGAGAAAGTTGGTTGGTGTATAGTCTGGAGCCATTAGAATTGGATTCCTTTAAGGGCAGCTTGACAAAGTAAAAAAAAAAAAGGGGGGGTCTGTTTTGGGGTGTTTAACAATCTAGTAATGTTTCTGTGTTATGCATTTTGTGTATGAGAAATGCATAGCAAGCCCTATTCATTCTCGCTTGTGGACTGCTGCTCAGAATCAGCCAGCTCAGTCCCATGCATTACATGGCAGCCAAAGGGATTCTTTCTGCTTCTGCAAACTGCTGACTTCATGCATTGCACAGGATGTCTGTCATTTGGGTAACCTTTCCAGCATTTGTTTCCATCCAACACAGTAAATGCATGTGTTTGAGAAGGGGGAGCAGTTGTTCAGGACGGGTAATTATTCCGGAGGCAGGCCTAAATCTATCTGTTGCTCACATGCTTCCATTATTTGGCCCCTTTGAAGATAATAAACACATTAAATGCAAATTTGTTTGGCTCCTGCAAACTGTATCTGCAGTCTTCATAATGGCTGTCTTTTGGGGTGTTTGCTGGGTAGACATGTTGGATAGTCAAGCCTGTTTTGATGTGTTCCTTAAGGCCTTTTCTGACCTATTTAATTTGAATTTTGTTGTTATGTGTACTGACTTGTAAACTGCCTTGAGTCACTGATAAGGCTGAGAAAGGCGGTATACAAGTATAGTAAATAAATAGGCTGACCTTAAGCTGTAGCTATGAGGTTGTTCTTGGCCTGGTGTTTCCTCCTCTTCCACTTTGCGGCTGAGCGAGTGTGACCCACCTGAGGCCAGTCTGGTGGTTTCCATGGCCAAGAGCCAAACAAAGCTGTCTTCCTCTGTATATGACTCCCTGAATGAAAGCTACATAATGAATTGTATTTTTGGATTGGAAAGACATTTTCTTCCTGTCTGTTCCTCCTGAGTTCTTCTCTTCTCCTTTCTCCCCCTTTGGATTCAGGAAGTTAAACCGAATTTAACGGAGCGGATTCAAGACTACGACGTTTCCCTCGACAAAGCTCTGGACGAACTCATGGACGGTGACATCATCGTGTTTCAAAAGTAGGCAACCCACTGAGCCACTTTGAGTCTCATGTTTTAAGAGAAAAAGTGGGGTACAGATAAACCATAATCATAATTATAATTATCATGAAATAAATCCTTTGTCACCATTCTTAGGACCTCAGCGCACTAGAGACATCATAGGCAAATTTTGGCCCTCCTGGTGTTTTGGATTCCCAACTACCACAATTTCTAACAGGTTGTTAGGAATTGTGGTAGTTGAAGTCTAAAACACCTGGAGGGCCAAAGTTTGTCCATGCCTGCACTAGCACATCTGTCCACTTTAAATCCTTGTTGCTGCCTTCAGAATTGTGGGTTTTGTAGTTTAAAGGTAAAGGATTTTAAGTCTACTTGTGTCCAACTCTCCATTTCTAAGGCGAAGAGTCTGTATACACTTCCAAGGTCATGTGGCCAGCATGATTGCATGTAGCACCGTTATCTTCCCACAGAAGCTGTGCCTATTGATCTACTTACACTTGCATGTTTTCAAAGTGCTAGGTTGACAGAAGCTGGGCCTAACAGCGGGAGCTCACCTTGCTCCTTGGATTTGAACCACTGACCTTTCAGTCAGCAGGTTCAGCAGCTCAACGTTTAACCTGCTGTGCCACCAGGATTTAGTTTAGTTTAAGAAGGGTCTTTTAAAATGCTCAGCCAGAGTGGTCCTGGGCTTCACTAAACTTTAAACCCCAGATTTTGCAGGCTGTGGATCATGGTTGTCCTAAAGCATCCGAAGGGGTACTTTGAACCCATGCCATTGCTGATTATGCAGCTGTTTTGAAGGGCTGGCCAATTACCATCCTAAACTTAAAACTCAAGGCATCTTCCCTCCATTGTGGCTTCTTATTTCTCCTCATTCTTTTCCTTCTCTCTCTTTCTTATATGCGCAGAAACTATCCATACCTTTTCATGGCCCTTTTGCCATCAACCTAATTCCTCTTTGGTCTTTTCCTCTGAATAGAGATGACCCCGAGAATGACAACAGCGAACTGCCCACAGCAAAAGAGTACTTCCGAGACTTGTACCACCGTGTCGACGTCATCTTCTGCGACAAAACCATCCCGAACGATCCCGGCTTCGTGGTCACGCTGTCCAACAGGATGAACTATTTCCAGGTGCCTCCTCTGCTTCAAATTTCCCGTCAGCAGCCAGGGCCAGATTGACAGGGCAACAATGTCTTTTTGAAAAGGGCAGCAACAGTTGAACGCAACTTCTGAGGCCTTTTAGTGGACCTGCTTTGGGAAACAACAGACACGTCGCTAACAGATGACTGTTCGGCCTCTGCTTTGGGTGACAGGTTGGCCTTCGCTTTCCAAGGCAATTTGTCCCACTATATAAAGCAGTGCATACAAACAGGCATTTAGCATTTACCGTATATACTCGAGTATAAACTGACCCGAATATAAGCCGAGCCACCTAATTTTACCCCCCAAAAATGGAGAAACGTATTGAAGAGGGTGAGAAATGCAGCAGCTACAGGTAAATTTAAAAATAAAAATAGATACTAATCAAATTACATTTATTGAGACATCAATAGGTTAAATGTTTTTCAATATTTACATGACTGTCCAACTCTGATTAAACCATTATTCTAACTTTCTTCAATGTGAATGTGCTTACTTATCCTCCCAATAATAATAGAGTAAATAATAATAGAGTAAAATAATAAATGTAATAATGATAATAATAATAATAGAATAAAATAATGGAAAAGTAATAATAACAGTATTAATAGAGTAAAATAATAAATGTAATAATAACAGAGTAAAATAATAAATTAATAATACTAGAGTAAATAATGTAAATGTAATAATAGATAAAAATAATAAATGTAATAATAATAAAACAATAAATGTAATAATAATAATAACTAGAGTAAGATAATAAATGTAATAAATAGAGAAAAATAATAACTAATAATAATAATAAATACAGTAAAATAATAAATGTAAAATAATAAAAATAATAATAACAGTAAAATAATAAAAACTTTGACTCGAGTATAAGCTAAGGGGGGCTTTTTCAGCCTTTAAAAGGGGCTGGAAAACTTGGCTTATACTCGAGTATATATGGTAGTTAAAATCTGCCTCCACCTGTCTCATAGATACCCTATTTACACAAATGTAATGCTCACATTTTTTCATTAAATATACACCAGAAATGCAAGTTGTAATCTTTCACCTCCTTCCGTTTTGATCTCTTTAGGTTGCCAAGACCGTCGCCCAGAGGCTTAATACTGATCCTATGCTCCTACAGTTTTTCAAGTCACAAGGGTAAGAGACATTCGTCAGAATGAATCCTTTATCACTTCCAAAGAGACACTTAATGGGCCCCTAATGGCGTTGGCCCTTTGGTTGCTGAGTGTTGTAGTTTGATGTCTACCAAAGAGCCATGTGATTCCCATTCTTCATAACCGCCTCTCTTCACATGGGGTTAAAAACGGGATTTGTAGCACAAAGGACAGTGTAAATCCCATTCAGTTCTTGTCAATCCAGGGACTATGCAAATTGGGACAATGCAATGTTTACAATGCAATCCCTCCCTCATTACAGAGATGGCTCAGGAAACTCTCTTAAGGCATAAATAATTACGATGGGACTTTGAGAGATCACCTGCAATTCTTTTTTTAAATTCCTTTTTATTTTATTTTATTAATTTTTCTGACTTTTGAAATGTTTCTTTGTTTAAATATTTTGAAAATTCCAAAACATTTTAAAACATAATACAGTTGTCTTATCACATCTTCTATTTCCACATCTTGACTCCCCCCTCATACCTCCCATTGCTCACATAGTGTTATGTCAGTTCTATGACTTCTTCATTATTCTAGTTTTATCCTTTATGTATTGTTATTGTAATGTGTTTATTAACTCCACCACAATATTTCGTGGGCATTTGGTGATTTAAATACGCCATGGCTTTTACAGTGGTGAATGTATACATCAATGTATGTTGGAGAATGTGATTCCTCCCTCATTTCTCTTCTTGTTCAGTTACAGAGATGGCCCAGGCAACCCACTTAGACATAATTACGATGGGACATTGAGGGATCTCCTGCAATTCTTCAAGCCGAGGCAACCTAAGAAACTGTACTATCAGCAGGTAAGGGGTGCTCTTAAGAGAGAGAGAGAGAAAAGCAAGATATACATAATAATAATAATAATAATAATAATAATATAAAATAAGAATAGAATCATAGAGTTGGAAGAGACCTCATGGGCCATCCAGTCCAACCCCCTGCCAAGAAGCAGCTATATTGCATTCATATCAACCCTGACAGATGGCCAATAATAAAATAATATAAAATAAGACTAATATGTGGAATACAAATTATAATAATCATATAGTAATCATTTATAAGATAATAATGTAATACTGTATATAATAATAATATGATAACAATAATATAAGGTGATGATGCGGGGAGTGAAGGGCTTCGGTGTCTTTGCAGAGGGACTAAATCAAATCTCTTTCCTTCCTCAAACATCTCTACAGCTCAAAATGAAAATCACGGACTTTGAAAATCGGAGGAGTTTCAAGTGCATATGGCTGAACAGCCAGTTTAGGGAAGAGGTAAGTTGACTTTGCATGTCAAGGGAAGACAATGATGGGAAAACTGGAGCTTCTTAGATTGGTAGAAGCTGTATTAATTTCCAGTCCATTTTTAACTTGTGAACTTCAATCTGCATTTTCCCTGTGTGTATATTTCTTATATGTATTTTAGCAGTGTTTTGCTTTCGCTGATTTCGCCATGTTGTACCCCCAATTTATTTCTCTCCACAAGGTCAGGAGAGAAACAAATTAATAAACTGATGATGATGATGATGATGATGATGATGATTATTATTATTATTAGGTTAGCTCAGATTTAATCACAGATAAAAAACCTCTCCATCTAAGAATTGCAGAGGGCAGAGATGACAAAATATTCAGATCCTGACATCTCATTACACGATATTACCAGGACCAATAACTTGCTGGTTAAATCAATTACTTGCCTTGTTATTATCTAATACTGCTGGAATTGCATGGTTTTTGTATGAGTTCTTCCACTGGCATAATTACACAACAACCTCCCCCCCCCCCCCCATACCTATGATATTATTATGATTATGATGATGGTGATTATTATTAGCCCCACTGAAAATAATGGAAGCTGATGTTTGTTCATAGAGGGACTTAGAGCAAAGTTTGTACATTTCAGGCCAGGAGTGTAACAGGAATTCGTACCTTCATTTGCTTGTTTTACTCATTTCATTTTATTTAATTTGCCTGTCTTTCCCTTTTGGCCTCTGTTCAGGAAATAACACTATATCCAGACAAGCACGGATGCGTCCGGGATCTATTAGACGAATGTAAAAAAGCTGTAGAACTTGCCGAGAGAGGTTCAGGGAAACTAAGGCAAGTGTTTGATTTTGCTTATTTAGGTGTGCAGCATTTCTTGAAAGCAAATCCCAGTCATTTGCCAACTTGAATTAATTGGAGGAGAAATGGAAATAGAAGGTCTGAGAAAGTATTTTAAGTTTGAGGAACTTTCCCAGCATTCCTCCTGAACATTAGGAAGAACATCCTGCCTGTCGGAAGGGCTTGGATTGTGCTTTTCCTGCATGAAGGCAGAAGTAGGTTGGACTGGATGACATTTAGATATCCCTTTCAACTCTAGGATCCTGAGATTCTATAGACTTTTTCTCCATGAACTTCCTGATGTCTTTGAGGCTCAATAGCCATCTCTTGGGAGGGCTCTGATTGTGCTTTTCCTGCCTTTGTCTCCCAGAGACCCCATGCAAAACCCAAACTGCCCCATTCTACTGGCTTTCCACTAAAAGCAAAAAGAAGTTATACATGGACACAGTTGCCTTTTTAAAGGACCACCTCCCTCTCTTGTTTTTGCATGATGTTATAAAGCTTTTTACACCCCTTTTTCCTCTTGTTCAGGCTGCTAGAAATTGTAAGTTACAAAATAATCGGGGTCCATCAGGAAGACGAATTGTTAGAGTGTTTATCGCCAGCAACAAGTCGAACGTTTCGAATAGAGGTAAGCGTGATTTTTAGAATTTACCACATTTCCCCCTTCCCTGGTGAGTTGCTGGGTGCCCCCATATTTTGGAAGTTTGCCCCCCACCCATAACACACCATTTCTCTCCCCTTCTTTCTAATATCTGCCTGATGCCCCTATTTGCGTTGCAGGAAATCCCTCTGGACCAGGTTGACCTCGATAAGGAGAACGAGATGCTTATTACAGTGGCTCACTTCCAGAAAGAGGTCTTTGGGACATTTGGCACTCCTTTCTTGCTAAGGATACACCAGGTGCGTCCCATTGTGCCCCGGAAATGTCATTCTGGAAGTACGTGGCATTGGATTATATGATCATAAAATCCTATAGCTGGAAGGGACCCCAAGGGCCATCCAGTCCAACCCCCTTCAGAGATAGAGATAGATAGATAGTCGGAAGGGACCCCAAAGGCCATCCAGTCCAAACCCTTCAGCGATAGATAGATAGATAGATAGATAGATAGATAGATAGATAGATAGATAGATATGTAGATATGTAGATATGTAGATATGTAGATATGTAGATATGTAGATATGTAGATAGATAGATGATAAAATGATAAAACCATAGAATCCTAGAATTGGAAGAGACCACAAGGGCCAGCCAAGCCTTTCAGAGATAGATAATAGATAGATAAATAGATAATAAAACTATAGAATCCTAGAGTTGAAAGGGACCCCAAAGGCCATCCAGTCCAACCCCCTTGTGCCATAAGACACAATCAAAGTCTTCCCAACAGATGGCCTCCCAGTCTCTTCTTTAGCCTCTCCTTTTAGATATTTAAACATGGTTCTTGTGTCCCCTTCTCTCAGCCTTCTTTCCTGCAATCTTAAGTGGGCTCATTGAATTTGGCATTGAATGTTTGTCACTCAGTTACTTTTGTTGTAAACCACCCCGAGTCCCCCTGGAGAGCTAGGGAAGTATATAAATAAATTATTATTATTATTATTATTATTACCTTTATTATTATTATTATTACCTTTATTATTATTATTATTAAAATTTCTTCTTGTGCCTTTTGAGCTTTGGTAGAATAATTCTTAGGACATGGTGACAGTAAACAATGCTGCTGCAGTTGGTGTTGTTGTCTTGGGTTAGCAGAGCCTGTCACGTCTTTCTTTGCTCTGCTTGCCTTGTTCAGTGTGCCATAAGGGCTCAGGGCCAGCCTTTTCAGAACCCTATTGACTTTTGTTTTCAGCATAACTGAAGTCCTCTCCTTTTTCTTCCTTTTGTAGGGTGAACACTTTCGAGAGGTGATGAAGAGGATTCAAGTCGTTCTGGACATCCAGGAGAAGGAATTTGAAAAGGTATGGCTCTGGGGCCAGGGCAGATGTCATTCTCAGCACAATGTAGCTTTTGAATTGAATAGATGGTTGTGTTTGTATTATTGCTACGAAGAAACTATCATAGCAGACCATCTCAAGCTGAAACGCAACGACAGTGCCATGCTTTTAAATTTCCTATTATATGTATCTAACCACGAGCTATGAAGAGAGGCTGGTAATAAATTATTAGTATTACTATTATTTGAAACACAACAAGATGAGTCCACAGCAAACAAGGTCACTCTGCTGGCTGTTGAATTGGATCACACGTTAGACACTTCCCAAGTGTCTAGGACTAGGTGATGTATCGGCGATTAATGCATGCAGATCCCAGTAAGGTGGCCTTCTGCAGCTGGCAGATGGTAATTTTGTCAGCGCCGATTGTGTTTAAGTGCAGGCCAAGGTCTTTAGGCACTGCACCCAGTGTGCCGATCACCACTGGGACCACTTTGACTGACTTGTGCCAGAGTCTTTGCAGTTCGATTTTTAAAGCTAGTTGAGGGTACAGTTAGAATGTATTTAAAAACAGAAACAAAGTTAAAAACCTGGCATTATACTAAATGTCCTTTGACCAGAAGCCGGCCACTTGGAGTGCCTCTGGTGCCACTGTGAGAAGGTCCTCCATTGTGCATGTGGCTGCATTATAGTAAGGGGTCTGTAGTTTGCTCTTCTCTGCACTTGCATGTCATGGACTCCACTTTGTGGCCTCATTTTTAAAGATTGACTGCATCTCACAGTGCCAGAGCACAGCCTGTTCAGGGCCTTCCAAGTCACCCAGTCTTCTGTGTGCCCAGGAAGGAGTCCCTCATCTGGTATCAGCCACTGATTGAGATTCCAGGTTTTAGCCTGCCACTTTTGGACTCTCCCTTGCTGAGGTGTTCCTGCGAGTATCTCTGTAGATCTTAGAAAACTATTTCTTGATTTAAGGCGTTGACATGCTGGCTGTTATCTGAACAGAGGATGGGCCGGAGATGTCAATGCCTTGGTCCTTTCATTATTGGCTTCTACTTCCCGACTGATGTCAGGTGGTGCAATACTGGCTAAACAGTATAATTTCTCCAGCGGTGTTGGGCATAGACATCCTGTGAAAATGTGACATGTCTCATTAAGGGCCACATCCACTGTTTTAACATTGTGAGATGTATTCCACACTGGGCATGCGTACTCACCAGCAGAATAGCAAAGCACAAGGGGCAGATGTCATCACTGTGTCTGGTTGTGCTCCTCAGGTTGTGCCAGTCAGCTTTTGTACAATATTATTTTTAGCACCCACTTTTTCCTTGATACTCAAGCAGTGCTTCTTATAAGTCAGAGCACGCTCCAGAGTGACTGCCAGGTATTTGAGTGTGCTGCAGTGCTCCAGTGGGATGCCTTCCCTGGTAATCCTCAGAACTTGAGGTGCTTGTCTATTCTTAAGGTGAAAAGCACACGTCTGCATTTTAGATGGATTTGGAATTAGCTGGTTTTCCCTGTAATAGGCAGTAAAAGCACCTAAAGCAGTGGTTCTCAAGCTGGGGCCCCCAGATGTTTTTGGCCTTCAACTCCCAGAAATCCTAACAGCTGGTGAACTGGCTGGGATTTCTGGGAGTTGTAGGCCAAAAACATCTGGGGACCCCAGCTTGAGAACCACTGACCTAAAGCTTCTGTTAAAGTCAAAGCTCCCTTGCAGGATTGTAACACATCTGAGCATCCCCTGGACAAGATCTTTGTAGACTGCTGCTTCTGTTACACCAGAAGTGACTTGCAGCATCAATAAAGTTAATACTTTTATTTATTCATATCCCACTTTTTTTCCACCCCCCCCCCCAAAGAGATTCAAAACGGCTTATGGTAAATTGATTAAAAACCTATTAATAACTATAATGATGGTGCTGATGATGATGATAATAATAATGCACTAATTAGCTGATGAATACAAGAGGCCACTAGGTTCTTGTAGGTTTTTTCGGGCTATAGGGCCATGTTCTAGAGGCATTTCTCCTGACGTTTCGCCTGCATCTATGGCAAGCATCCTCACTACCTCTGAGGATGCTTGCCATAGATGCAGGCGAAACGTCAGGAGAAATGCCTCTAAAACATGGCCCTATAGCCCGAAAAAACCTACAAGAACCTAATACAAGAGGCCATTTCCCATGAAAGATTATGAAGCAAGGGAAATTCCAGTTGAGGCAAGATTGAAGTTCTACAGGAATATTTTTTTTTTTGTATATTCCTTGATAAATGTGTACTTGAACTCTGGGTTATTTTTTAAAATGCATATATCTCAATTTCTTCTCCCCAAAGTTTAAATTTGCCATTGTAATGATGGGTCGGCACCAATATCTAAACGAAGACGAATATGAAGTGAACTTGAAAGATTTCGAACCCCAACCCGGTGAGTATCGTCCATTGGCTTTGGTTTTTTCCCCTTTCGATCTCAGTGGGACAGCCATGTTATAATGCTATTTAGGGTTTAGGTCAGTCAAATGAAGCCTATTTTGGTGTCGCTGCATCTCCATAGGATTGCTCTGCATCCTCATAGTTCCCATTTTGGGCAACCATAGGCAAGGTCACATCATTTCAAGGCGTTTTATTTTAATTTGGACACAGAGGAGGGGGCGGAATTGCTGTTTTGGTGAAGGGAGGTCCCAAGGGGCCACATGGTTCGCTTTCCTGCTTTGGAAGATGGGTTCTGGTTCAAGAATGACAGAAACCAAGGGAAGGGGCTACATTCACTCCTCCCACAACAGGAAGTGACTCAAAGCCCTGACCCCAAAATGGGGGTCCCCTTCCACCAAAAAGAAAATTAAAACAGGAAAAAGGTTTCTAATTGCCACCCAGTGACCACTTTAGGGATTACATGAACCTCTTGTGTAGGGTTTACAGCTGACTCTGCAGAAGATGCTTGAACTGTACTCCATAAAAAGGGAGAAAATGGAACAGTACCTTTTTATCATGACTTGTGGATGCTTGTTTATATCAGCAAATGTTTATTTCTTTTATAACTTTTTAATATACCTTTATGTCTGGGGTTATGAACAAATAATTCTCTAGTGCAAAAGGGATTGCAAAAAGTTTAAAGAGACAAGATTATGGAGCTATTCTTAGGTTGTCATTGGACTCCAGTTCCCAGCATCCCAAGGCAGAGGTCAAGCTTGTCAGCTGCAGACACTTCAGGCAGACAGGCAGCTGTATTCTCCCCTTTTGCATTTGTTTCTCCACATCTTAGTTGTGTATTCATTCTTTCTTTTTCTCCTTCTCTCTCTCTTTCTTTCTTTCTTTCTTTCTTTCTAGGCAACATGTCTCACCCAAGGCCATGGCTAGGACTTGACCATTTCAACAAAGCCCCAAAGAGAAGTCGCTACACGTACCTTGAAAAAGCTATTAAAATCCATAACTGACTTACCCCTCTCCCAAGTTTGTTCGAGACAAGGAAAAAAAAGAGGGAGGGAGGCAACCATAAGTGTGTGTGTGTGTGGCGTGTGTGTGGCGTGTGTGTGTGCGCACCTTTTTAACAACCGACCGTAGGACTTTTCCGGCACACGTGCACACGACCCGGCGTCTCCGGCGAGAGGAGCTTTGCTGCCGGTGGGATTAATTTTATTTGGAGGCTACTCCCTTTGGCTTCTCTGTACCTTTTATTGACTGCCCTCTTTTTTCTGTTTTGTTTTTTGAGCAAAAAAATGAAGGTGTTTTATAAAACAAAACGATCAAGCTTTGGGTGCCAACGAGAGTTTTTAATGGGGGATCGAAAGGAGGCGTCACAAAGGGGAGGAGAGGCGAGGCAATGTTATCGACGGTGGACTCGGCCCGTAATGCGTTGAATGGGCTGGCCTTCCCTTTCCCCCACAGTTCCCTTTCCCCCTGCCATCAACTGCAGTATGACTATGGTTAGGCTCACATTCCCTTCCTGTTTTGTTTCCTCCTGTTATATCCTTTGATTTTTTTTTTTGGACGCCTTTGTAAATGCAAACAGAGAGAGAGAAAAGACAAAACTCAACATCATCAATAAATAGCAATCTCTACTTCATGGTGTACACTGTTGGCACTTATTCGGACACGTTTTGTTGCGTTTTGGGTGGATTATCTCCTTTAAAAAAATATCATTATTATTAATTTTAAAATAAATGGAGTTGGAGTCACCATTGGGCTTTCTTTTTCCCTCCCCACACCTCACTTTTTTCCTGAGGAAATAAGTCAGAATCCTCAAAGAGGGAAGGAGGAAGATCCGGGGTCTTTTGAATTCCCTTTTAGAGATGGCTAAACATTCAAAAACCCTTGAGGTCATGCATTGAAAACCCTTGAGGTTTTGTATTTAAAAATCCTTGGGGTTGTGCATGGAAAGCCCTTGAGGTGTTATGTATAAAAAGCCTTTGGGTTTATGCATTAATAGCCCCTGAGGATAAAGATGAACCCGACGCCTCTGAAGATTTGCTTCGTAGTGGAAATTAGCGAATCTGGGAATGGGAGAAGCGACACAGGCCTTTTTAGCACTAAAGGCATGATGTTCACTAGTGTTTTAGTAAGATGTTGACTTTGTATAAAATAATGAGAGCGAGGGGCTTGGGAGGGCACAGAAAATGTATATTTAAGGGAGGATGTGTACAATTGGATGCTCAGAGGTGGCGTTTGGGGGGCCGGGGGGTGTTGAGGGGGTGCTGCTGCCTGCAAGCGGATTTCACAGATGTCAATATTCCTATTCATTGTGTGTAGTTTTTATTTCGGTTCCCCCGGCGGCTCTCCCCCCTCCCCCCATTTTAGTTTGGAGCTAATGGCAGCCCGTTTGTGTCTATATCAGGTTTTCTTTCCCCCTTTTGGAGTGCAGTAAAGCTATAGAACCTGCAGTTTACACTCCCCTTTCTTTTCCTTTTTTAAAATTTTCACATTCTTTATCTTCTTCCCCTCAGTACTTAATTTTTTTTGTTTTTGTTTCTGTAGCTCCCTGTGCAATGATTCTTCCTGTATATTGCCTTTTTTGCTGGAAAAAAAAAAGAAATGTTGTATGTTGAATAAAAATTTTCTATAAAATTGTACTTCGGTGAGTTGATAGCCTGGACATTGAAGAAGACCCTTCTCCTTGCAAGGTTTCTGAAGATAGGACTTTTCACCTGGCCGCTATCCAGTTGTGAAATGTGGGTTTGACTTAAAGGACAATGGGTAAAAGTCATCTGCTATTTTTATCTGAAACTATCGTGTAGTGGTTCCTAAGCTTTTTTTGACCAGGAACCACTTTGATCAGGGATCACTCTCCAACATTAGTACCAAAAGGGTTCCGAATCAGTTTTTGGTCAACTTTAGATTTGGTTTCGTTATTTGAGGTGCTGATTCAGAAAATTGCATTGGATAGACCATATCAGCTCTAGTTTTCGATAAAAAACATATGCCATCCAGTAGTGGCCATCTGCTTGCCCATAGAAAACATATTTAATAATCTAGAGCTGATGTGGACTTGTTGTTGTTCGTTCATTCAGTCGTTTCTGACTCTTTATGACTTCATGGACCAGCCCACGCCAGAGTTCCCTGTCGGTTGTCACCACCCCCAGCTCCTTCAAGGTCATTCCTGTCACTTCAAAGACTAGCCAATGCAATTTTCTGAATCAGCTCCCCAGGTAACCCCAGGAGCAGGCCTAAAAACAAAGATACCAAGAAAAAAAGGTTTTTTGTTTGGGCTGTGTTATTATTCATGGATTTTGTTATAAGAGGATTTTGCAAGACCAATTGCTCTTGGTTGCAACAGTGTAGTAACCGTGAAACCGCGGACCATATTTTAGTTCTTGTGGACCATTGGTGGTCCATGGACCATAGGTTGGGAACCACTGCTATAGAGGTTGCTGTATTTGTATATGATGATGATGATGATAATAATAATAATTTATCCACCTCTCCTTGTTTATGTATCATTAGACAAGAATAGGAGTTATATATTGAACTTGAAACAGGTCCTATAAGACCAACCTCTGCAACTGGTAGGTGTTTAAATTTGAAAGTATGTCCCTTTAACTAGTTTTAGGTAGAAATACATCATAGCTTCAATCCTTTTTCAGAACAAAAAAGGGAATTCTGGGAGTTTTACAGTAAGAAGTCCTTAAGGGCCAAGGCTTGCTTTCTGTGTTGCAGGGTCAACTTCTTTTTTACTCCTAGACAGAACCAGATGACATTTCCAACCGCAATTTGGATTTTATTGGAGGGAAAAACTGGGAAATGTCCAAATAATGTTATCTGATTTACAACATTTGATGGAAAAGTTATATCTCAAACACGTTTGGTGCTTTATATAAATATATTTGCAGCATATGTTTCTCTTGTATTTCACACGAAAAGACACTTTCTTTTGGGAAAAGGGACATTACTTTGGAATATCTTACATCAACAGTTGAAGGTCCTAAAGTACTTCAGGGTCAACATCTCCATTTAACACCAAGGGGGGAAAACTGAATTGAATATTTTATTTCTCTAAATAATAGATTTCAATCTCTGGTTTTTGTCTTGAATTGAGTTGCAAGAAGTTTTGAGGCATGGAAACACAAGATGAGCAATGTGTTAATTTGTTAGTCTGTTCCTCAGAGCGTGACTATCCAGCGCCGAAGTCCGCCATGGCTCTATTGATTCAGATTCTAGAAAGATTCCAGATCAAACCAAGATGTGACGTAGAAGAGGACCAAAAGGATCAGAAGTAAAAACCCCAAATGGCTGGAGTTGGACCTGGAGTCAGACCCGACCTCAAAGATCCAGATTTCTCTGTCCTCGCCTTCTGGCAGTCAAGGCAACCAAAAGGTGAGGACTGTAGAGACTACTGATTTGGCTGGGAAGGAATGATGGGGAAAAGGGAATGCAGCTTGTTCCCAAAGGGTGATGCTTCCCCTCCTCTTCAGAACTGCTTCTCCTAGAGCCGCTTGTATCGGTAGATGTGGTACCGGCAACAAGGACAGTAGTGGTCCACGTCTTTGGAGCATTTAGTCAGAAAGGGGACGAAGCAGCAGCCTAAGCAGCAGCTGTAGGGAAGAGAAAAAGGGAGGGGTTGATAGCATTTTTGAATATAGTGATATCACTGTATTTACTCAAGTCTAATGTGTGCCTTTTTGTGGCTAAATGACCTGGTCCAAAGATAAGGTGTTATTTTAAAAGTGAATGTTAGAACTCTGGACCTGTCCATTTGCCTTTTCCCATGATCCATTTTTTATTCTGTGCCAATCCTGGCAGATGGAAACCCATCTAAAGTCCTTCTAGGTAGTGGCACAATATAATAATAATATCATAAAACAGAATCAACTCTCACCCCAAGAGGCACAAAGCGGAGCACAAGGCGTAGGTCAGGGATCCCACTCGGAAGGTCACTTCGGTGGTGATGATCTGGCGGCAGCAGGGACAAATGGTGGAGGCCGGCTTGCTGGAGAAGATCCCAGCCACCACGACCGGAGGGTTGTTCGTCAAGCAAACTGTAGAAATAAAAACATATGAGATTCATCCCACAATTCCACAGTCTTCCGTGGAATCCCTTGGATTGCCCTTTGCTATAGGTTCAAAGGCATGGATGAGGTGCTGCAGAAGTTTGCTTTTGCTTCTTCCCCTTGGGAAGGGCAAAGTTTTTCTCTCTGCTGCAGAGTTGTTTTTATAATCTATACATTTATTGTTTTTCAGCAATATTAAGTCACATTATCTCTTTTGTCAAATCAGCTATTTGCCTTATATCTCCAAGGCACCCATTGAAACTAAGGCCCTGTCTACACTGCCATATCATGCTGTTTCACAATACAGTTGAACTGTGTTGAACTGGATTATATGGCAGTATTTACAGTACCATTCAGTGCATTATATGGCAGTAAATGAGGCCCAATTTCCCTGCCTTAAAAGCCATGCAATCGAAATATTATTGTTCAACTGAGAAAGACAAGATTTTAACACCTGATCCTTTAATGGAGTGCAAACTCCCTTTTTTCCCTGAGGAATCAATTGGCAACATTGGAAGGAATAGCCAAAATGTGGCTTTGTAAAGTCCAGACTCTTTGAAGACAGATGAGAAGCAGTTCATTGGCTGAGTGCCTTTAGCAGTCATTTCATTAGCTGGAGAGACCCTTCATCTCCAAATACCAGTCACGAAACAATATTTGATAGTTGCAAGCCTGGGACTTAGAGGATTTTTTGTGTGTGTCAGGAGCGACTTGAGAAACTGCAAGTCGCTTCTGGTGTGAGAGAATTGGCTGTCTGCAAAGACATTGCCCACACAACGCCCGGATGTTTTGATGTTTTACCATCCTTGTGGGTGGCTTCTCTCATGTCCCATTGGGGCTCCAGACTTAAGAGGGGCAAAGATATTATTAGTATTTGTACTGGTAGTATTAGTATTATTATGCTCCTACTTGCCACAATCATTGACCTTTCCTTTCTACCTTTAACAATAATCCCTGCTAGCTGGAGATGAAATGGATTATATCTGTTTTCAGACTTTCTCAGGAAAGTGGGATATAAATAATTGTTGTTCCTATTGTGATGTTGCTGTTGCTGTTATTCTTGACAACCATGTATTACCATGAGCCATCTCTCCCGTAATCCAAACACTATTTGGCCTGTTACTGGATTGATACCCAACTTTCCTCCTAGAATGGGATTAAAAGTATTTGAGGTTGGATTGGTTTTAATGAAGCAAAAGCCTGGAAAGAAACTCAGAAATTATGTATTTTGCATCAACTGTCTGCGATTGGGAGTCTGTGAGTGTGAATTCATATTGACAAGGGTTGCTTTGTATCTCCATCTCCAGCCTTTCAAATGAGGTTCTTTTAGACTCCAAATCCATCCAATGGGGCTGTCGGTGGCACATTCTTCATCCTTTTCTTTCTTGAAATTGCCCAATGCACCCTTCTTTTTGACAGAGAAGGCTGAAGATCTTGTAAAACTACAATTTATGGGACTCCATGGCAGTTCAAGTGGTGCCAAACTGCATTCATTCGACAGTGTAGATACAAATGATGAGGAGCTGCAAAGTTTGACCATGAGGCCATTAATTGCTATATCCTCTGCAAGAGGTAAGGCATCCCATCAACAGATGAAGAAAGAAAAATTCTGAGTTCATTAATATGCATGTCTTCCACTTACTTGGTCCCACTCCGTCGTCATAAGGCATGTCTTGACAGGAGTATGGAGGGGGAGACGGACAATTCCCATAACAGTCATCTGGATCAAGGAAGGAAAACAAGAGAAAAGGAATAAAAACACCGGTGCCTTGGAAGTTTTAGATAAGGCCCAAATCCAAATGTGATTTCCTTGCTCATTTTTAAACCCTCAAAACATTGCCTTATGGGTCTATGCAAAGACAATCCATACACATAGAGTGCATTACAGTGTTGAATTAATACACTTTGACACTGCGTTATCCTCCATGGTGCAACAATATGGAATCCTGAAAGTTGTAGTTTGCACAGTTTGGCAGAGACTGCTGAAGTCTGCAGATTACAAGCTACAATTCCCAGGATTCCATTGCATTGAGTCACAGTAGTTAAAAGTGGAGTGAAATTGCAATCATTCTACAGTCTAGGTGTACCCTAATTGACCCAGGCATAGACATTTGCCCCCCAATTTTCCCCATTTAGAGACGTACTTGTTATGCTGTATGCATCTCCTGAAGAAGACTGGGGCAAATATGAGTCCGGTGTATATTTCTCCGGGGCATAGGGTTGAGATTCATAAGGCTGGGGGGCGTAGGGCTGGGATTCGTAGGGCTGGGGGGTGCAGGGCTTGGGTTCGTAGGGCTGGGGGGTGTAGGACTTGGGTTCATAGGGCTGGGAGGTGTAGGGCTTGGGTTCGTAGGGCTGGGGGGCGTAGGACTTGGGTTCGTAGGGCTGGAAGGTGTAGGGCTTGGGTTCGTAGGTCTGGGGGGCGTAGGGCTTGGGTTCGTAGGGCTGGGAATATTCCGGCACATATGGCTCCGGACGGGGGGCAATGTCAGTCATTGGGATGGTTACATGCTTCACCGTCTTCTGCTCCATCTTGAGAGTCGGCCTGCAAGGCAAGACAGCAGAAGAGGTGAAGGAGCCATGAGGAAGCTTTTTGGCTGCATGGAAACAGAGTGGGAGAAACAATAGTCCCTCTATTCCTTTGCCCCCTTTGGCATCACAACCTGCAGATTGCAACCAAACAGCAGTCCTAAAAGAAATAGAGAACAAGATGAACCAGAGCAGTATAGTGGTTTGAGTTTTGAAGACTCCGGGTTCGAATCCCTGCTTAACCATGGAAGAGCAGCTTTGCGCAAGTTGCACTCTCTCAGCCTCCAAGGGAGGCAAAAGCAAAAGCCCTTTGAACAAATCAGCCTGGTTGAATCCCAAGTCAAAACATAGCAATTGCAAAACAGGAGGCAGCTTGGAACACATACCACATTGTCTACCGATTCTCATTGTTTTGGACAAAATCCAAATAACTGACAGTCCACAACTAATGGTAGACTGCAATAAGGAAAAGGAGGAAGGAGGAGAACAGGAGGAGGAAGAAGAAAAAGGGAGGAAGAAATATATATATTCTGGTTTTGCATTGGTTCCAGTTTGTAGGATGGTTAGCCACTTTTGAGTCCTGTGATTGGGAGAAATGCATAAAACAACTCAGTAATAAAAACAATGCTAATAGGGCAGTAGAAGATATTACTTTTGTTGCTCCTGACTTGAGAAACTTAAAGTCAATATACAATGAATATAAATATAGAATTGTATATCCCACCCTCCTCCTTTTCAGCATCAACTGAGTCTACAAGGTGAGACCAACTAGCTTTCTATAAATTAAGAAAATAGTAAGATATTATACTGCCTTAATCACATTGGTTTCACTGCATGATGACGATATTAATTTGTATCCCACCTATACACACCATGAATCCACTCGTACCTTGGACCAAGTCAGAGACACAAAAACAACCCTGACAGCCTCTGTACATGCTTTTCCTAAGCTCCGTATTTTGCCTTTGTTTTGCAATGGCTCCCCAAAGGAGACAAACAAGGCCTCAATGTGCAAGTGTGGTTAAAGGTGTGATGTCATGGCCCCCACGTGTTGGTGATATCAGCCTTTAATGAGAGAAATACCTTCCTCTAATTACGGGCCTCGATTCTGAGCAGCCTTTCTAAAGGCTTGCTCATCCAGCCTGATTTGCCTCCACTTGGTGCTCCAACCCATGCAAATTGGCCCCATTCATGCATTCCTGATGAAAGAATGTGGAGGTGGGTGGCAATTGACCACTCCTTGGGCCGCTATAAACGTCCACATTTTTTCTAAATGATGCGGTTTATTCATGTGCCATTCCCTTGCTAGAGAGCATTTGCCCCACAATGACAGCTATTTGGCAGCCAAAGGACAGCTTCCAAGTGATGTGTTTCCCATTTGGTTTCACTTCGAGTCTCCTTGTTTTGGGGGATACAAAGTCCCATCATTCACAGCCGTGCCTGCCTTGGGAAGATGGGCTACATGACTCCAATGCCTGAGTCCTTAATATCATGGATCCAGAAATTAAATTAATTACTTCCTATGGACCAGATGGGTTGGTTCTAGTTTTGGACCTACAAATTGGATTCGGAACAGGGTGACTACAAATCCCAGAATCCCCCATCCAGTATGGCCAAAATGGGGTTCTGGGAGTTATAGTCCAACCCATCCATATGCTCAAAAACAACTGGAAGCTAGTTTCTCCATCCGATCCCATAATGTCTGTTTGGTCCTCTGTCTTTTTTTATCTGTTTCGGAATAGTTTTAAGCTTGGAAAATGCATGAAAGTTGGGATGATGCAACAAGCAAAGCTACTGTTAGGTGGATTGGGAACTAGTTCACCCGCTATTTCTATCCAATGGCTTCCCCCTTCTTCCTGGAGAGAAGTGACTTTTGGGGTCTTGTCTTGGGCCTTTAAGGGCTATTCAGAAGCTTTATCAGTGGCTTGGATGACAGACTAGAAGGCAGGCTGATCCAAATTTAGGAGGGACAGCAAATACCTAGAGCAGGGGTCCTCAAACTAAGGCCCAGGGACCGGATACGGCCCTCCAAGGTCATTCACCCGGCCCTCGCTCAGGGTCAACCTAAGTCTGAAATGACTTAAAAGCACACAACAATAACAACAATCCTATCTGATCAGCCAAAAACAGGCCCACACTTCCCATTGAAATACTAATAAGTTTATATTTGTTAACATAGTTCTTCATTTTGATTATTGTATTGTTTTTAAGTGGGTTTTTTTTTTTTGCACTACAAATAACATATGTGCAGTGGGCATAGGAATTCATTCATGTTTTTTTTCAAATTATAATCTGGCCCTCCAACAGTTTAAGAGACTGTGACCTGGCCCTCTGTTTAAAAAGTTTGTGGACCCCTGACCTAGAGGATGGGACCAGGATCCAAAATGACCTCAACAGATTAGAGAGCTGATTGTTCAGAACTAACAAAACAGAATTTCAGTAGGCAATAACAATGAAGTGTACAGAAAGAGGAGTTAAAGGGATTGAGGAGTAATAGTAATAATAATAATACCACCACCTGTCAGCTGCAAAAGCCCCCCTTCTTGGATCTGCACGCATTATTAACCAATACATCACACAGTCCTAGAAACTTGGGGTGTCCGACGTGTGATCCAATACAAAAGCCAGCATAGTGATCTTATTTGCTGTGTACTAGTCTTTTTGTGTATCTAATAATAGTAGTAGTAGTAGTAGTAGTAGTTGTAATAATAATAATAATAATAATAATAATAATACAAGAGTGTGATGTGGCAGCTAACAAGGCCAATGCGATCCTAGACTACTTCAATAGGAGTCTAGCGTTTAAACAGAGAGAAGTTATATTGACCATGGATTGACTATATCTAAGTCTGAGAAAATGATCTAGAGTCTTAGCAGACTGGAAACTGAATGAGAGACTACAGTGTGATGCAGCAGCAAAATAGGCCAATACGATCCTAGGCTGCAACAATAGGAGTCTAGTGTCTAAATTGATAGAAGTAATCTTGGCTATGTCTTGATAATAGTTATGTATGTGATGTATGCTAACAAGGCCAATGTGATCCTAAACTGCATCAATGGTGGTGTAGAGTCCAACTCTTTTCTGCCTTGGTTGGATCTCACCTGGAATAATAACCCTGTATCCAGTTCTGAGCAAAGCAATTCAAGAAAGAGATGGACAAGCGGGAAGGAGGACCAAAATGGCCAAGGCTTATGAGGAACAGCTTAAATTGCTGAGGATGTTTAGCTTGGAGAAGGCGGATAGAAGAATATGAGAGTCATGTTGAAATATTTGGAAGGATGTCCTGTTGAGGAAGGGGCAAGGCTTGTTTTCTGCTGCTCCAGAGACTGGGACACAACAGAGTATTGGATTCAAATTGCAGAAAAAGGGATTCCATCTGAACATTAGGAAGAAATGATTTCCCTACCTGTGTGGACCAGGATCAGATAGAACTGGTACCTCTTTCCCGGAGTCTGTTCACTTCATCGGCCTCTTGGCTCCTCTGATGTCCAAGGAAGGGTCATGATCTATTCCTAAGATCTTGCTGACTTGGAGCCCAGGTCCGGAGTGAGGGTTTATCCCATCTCAAAGGGGCAGGAAGAGATAGGAGTTTGGCCGGAAGGGAGGAGAAATGGAGCAGCTGTGTAATTACCCTCCGGTTAGCCAAGCACTCCATCCTCTTTCCAAACGCAAACATCCCAAAGAGGAATGCCGGGGAACGGGTTGGATGAGACAGGGCTCATTTGGTTGGGTGTCCATTCAAGATAGCACCTCTCAACAGGAGCACCTTTGTTTTGGAGAGTTTTGCGGCACTGATCCAAGGCCAGCTAAATTGTGTTTTCTATGGCTTTGACTGCATCTGAAGCAGGCCAGGACTTTGGCAATGTTTGCAGTGATCCGAAACAATGGTTGCAATGATATATGATTGCAGTGGCTTCACCTGATTGTATCCGAAACAACGGTTGTAAGGGTTCATCGTTGCAAGGATGCACGTTTGCAGTGGCTTCTCCTGACTGTATCCGAAACAATGGTTGCAAGGATACATTAATGCAGTGGTTCTCAACCTTCCTAATGCCGTGACCCCTTAATGCAGTTCCTCATGTTGTGGTGACCCCCCAACCAAATTTGGCACAATTACCTGATACACCCAAATTTGAATACTGGTGGGGTTGGGGGGAGGGGAGTTGGTTTTGTCATTTGGGAGTTGTAGGTAAAGGTTTTCCCCTGACATTATGTCCAGTCATGTCTGACTTGGGTGTGGTGCTCATCTCCATTTCTAAGCCAAAGAGCCAGCGTTGTCCGTAGACACCTCCAAGGTCATGTGGCCAGCATAACTGCAGGGAGCATCATTACCTTCCCACCAGAGCAGTACCTATTGATCTACTCACATTTGCATGTTTTTGAACTGCTAAGTTGGCAGAAGCTGGGGCTGACAGCGGAAGCTAATGCCACTTCCTGGATTTGAACCTGCACTCTTTTGGTCAACAAGCTCAGCAACTCAGCGGTATCGTTGTTGGGATTTATCGTTAACCTACAATCAAAGAGCATTCTGAACTCCACCAACGATGTAATTGAAACAAACTTGGCACACAGATATCCCTTGACCAACAGAAAATACTGGAAGGGTTTGGTGGACATTGACCTTGAGTTTTGGAGCTGTAGCACTGTGGACTCAAACAATGATGGATCTGGACCAAACCTGGCAAGAATACTCAATCTGCCCAAATGTGAACACTGGTAGAGTTTGGGGAAATTAGACCTTGGCACTTGGGAGTTGTAGTTGCTAGGATTTATAGTTCACCTACAATCAAAGAGCATTCTGAACTCCATCAACGATGAAATCGAACCAAATGTGGCACACAGAACTCCCATGACCAACAGAAAATACTGGAAAGATTTGGCAGGCATGGACCTTGAGTTTTGGAATTGTAGTTCACCTGCCTCCAAAAGCACTGTGGACTCAAACAATGATGGATCTGGACCAAACTTGACACGAATACTCAATATGCCCAAATGTGAACACTGGTGGAGTTTGGGGAACATTGACTTGACATTTGGAAGTTGCATTTGCTGGGATTTATAGTTCACCTACAATCAAAGTACACTCTGAATCCAGCCCACAATCAAGGGAGGGCTCGTGCGAAGGAGCCCCCGGCTGCCTCGCGGCCTCGCCATTTGGCGAGGCCGCCAAGGAGCCCAGGGAGGACTCGCAGCCTAGTGGGCGGGGCCTAAGGAGGCGGCCTCGCGACCCCTCCGAAATGGCCAAACGACCCCCAGGGGAGTCGCGACCCCCAGGTTGAGAACTGCTGCATTAATGCATTGGCTTCGCCTGACTGCATCCAAAACAATGGTTGTAAGGATACATCGTTGCAAGGATGCATGTTTGCAGTGGCTTCTCCTGACTGCAACCAAAGCAGTGGTTGTAAGGATACAGAATACCAGGCTCTCCTGACTGCATCCAAAGCAGTGGTTGCAATGATACATAATGCAGTGCTTCTTCTGACTGCCTAAAAAACAATGCTTGCAATGTTACATAATGCAGCGTTTCTTCTGACTGCATATGAAGCAGTGCTTGCAATGATACAGAATGCAGTGCTTTTCCTGACTGCATTCAAAGCAGGCGAAGACTGAAAATGCAGTGGCAATGGTTACATTCTCCTTGTAGTTAAGCTGGGCCTGTTTTGTCTGAGAAATAAATTGCTTACCTTCCAAGTTCTGGTCCAATTCAGTTTCCGTACTCAATGCATTCATTATAACACTTTGTCAAAGGCCAATAATATCAGGAATTTGAAATAACAGGGTTCGAATCCCTGCTCAACCATGGAAATCCTTTGGGTGGCATGGGGACAGCCACACCCTCTCAGCCTCAGAGGGAGACCCCTTTCTGAATTGATCCAGATAAGGAACCCCTATTATCCTCAGTTCTTGTGGGTTTTTTCGGGCTATATGGCCATGTTCTAGAGGCATTTCTCCTGACGTTTCGCCTGCATCTATGGCAAGCATCCTCAGAGATGAGGTCTGCTGGAACTGGGAAAAAAGGGGTTTATATATCTGTGGAATGACCAGGGTGAGACAAAGGGCTTTTGTAAGTTGGGCTAGGTGTGAATCTTTCAACTGACCACCTTGATTAGCATACAATGGGCTGACTGTGCCTGGAGCAAACTCTTCTTGAAAAGTGATTAGATGTCCCTGCCTGTTTTTCTCTCTGCTGTTTTTGCTGTTGCAATTTTAGAATTTTTTAATACTGGTAGCCAGATTTTGTTCATTTTCATGGTTTCTTCCTTTCTGTTGAAATTGTCCACATGTTTGTGGATTTCAATGGCTTCTCTGTGTAGTCTGACATGGTGGTTGTGAGAGTGGTCCAGCCCCTATTATTTTGGAGAGCTGGAATGGCTCAGTGGTTTGTGTGAATTAGGCCTCTAGGAGACACAGGTTCAAATCCTCACTTGGCCATTGAAACTCCACAGGTCACACTCTCTCAGCCTCCAGCATTCTTTCTATTAGGATTTCCAAAAAACGAATGCCTTGAATTTGGGCAAGTTGCACCTTCTCAGCATCATAATAAAATCTTGGCAACCTTCTTGGATAGAAATCTACGCAGCCCTCTCTCCGGACTCCCCCAGAACACAAAGAAATGCATACAAGGCTAGATTGCATCTTATAATCAATACCCATTTTATCGTATGATAAAAGGACTTTTGGACTCTTCCAGTTTGCTGATAAGTGTATATGTCTCCAACTTACAGTGTCCCTATGGCAAACATGTCACTGGTTTTTCTTGGCAAGATTTATACAAAGGAGGTTTGCCCTTTGCCTTCCTCTGAGGCTGAGAGAGTATGGCTTGGGCCCAGTGGGTTTCTATGTGAGGATGCGAACCCAGATCTCAGAAAATAGTCCTCCAGTGCTCAAATTGCTTGCTTATGCCAAGTTGTTCATGAAAAGCAGCACCCCTTCAACTACCCGCCAGCAAAGGTGCCGCAGTGTTTTGAATGTTAGATTAAAGCTCTGGAGTCCAGGGTTTGAATCCTCCCTTTTGGCCATGAAGCCTAATGAGTGCCCTTGGGCAGGGTGCACGGTCTCAGCCCCAGATAACCTTGCAATGATAGCCTTGCCTTTGAGCCCTCCACAAAGCAACAAACTGCTCCCTCTCTGCTTCCGTCTCTCGAAGCATCCAAGGCAAACTCTATATAAAACTTTTTTCCCCAACACGCCCTAAATCTGGCCCTGATCCGGCAGGTGGGTGGGATCCCCAGTTTATTACAGGTGTGAAATGCTGAATGCCCTGTTTATTACTAGGAGGTTTGTATTAAAACTCAGTCACACCTGTTGCCTTTCCGCCCGGACCTCATTTGACATGTTCCACATCTTTATCTGTGACTCGGACAATGGGAGAGAAGGCGCGTCGCTCCCACGTGCAGATAGGACGCAATGGGGGAGGGATAACCCATATGGTTTGGATCAGGATCCACAGTGATCCTTGTAACAGATTAGAGAGCTAATTGGCTCTAAATAAAGGAATGGATTTCAACAGGGAGAAATGTAAGGTGGAAATAAACAAAATGCACAGATATAAGATGTGGAGTGCCTGGCTTCAAAACATGTGTAAGGAATCTAGGAGTTTTATGAGGCCACAAACTGAGGAAGAGCCAACAGTGTGATGCGGCAGCAAAAAAAAAAGGCCAATGCAATTCTAGGAGTCTAGTGTCTATATTGAGGGAAGTAATATGGATTGTGGCTTTATAATGGATGGATGGATTAATGGATAGGATAGATAGGCAGGCAGGCATGAAAGAGATCTAGGAGTCTTAGTGGACCACTAGATGGGGGGTGAGTCAAAAGTGTGATGCAGCATGGAAAAAGACCAATGCGATTCTAGGCTGTATCAATTGGAGCATAGTGTCTAGATTAATAGAAGTAATATTCTGCAGGAGTCTACCGTATACCATGCAGCTGTGGACAAGTCTACATAGGGACCACCAAACGCAGCGCCCAGACACGCATCAAGGAACATGAAAGGCACTGCAGACTACTTCAACCAGAGAAGTCAGCCATAGCAGAGCACCTGATGAACCAGCCTGGACACAGCATATTATTTGAGAACACAGAAATGCTGGACCACACCAACAACCACCATGTCAGACTACACAGAGAAGCCATTGAAATCCACAAGCATGTGGACAATTTCAACAGAAAGGAAGAGACCATGAAAATGAACAAAATCTGGCTACCAGTATTAAAAAACTCTAAAATTATAACAGCTAAACAACAGAGAGGAAAAAACCAGGCACAGATTAACACCTCCCAGCAACAGATTTTCCCAGGCTCAGGCAAGCCTTCAAATGCTAATGAAGGTGATCAGCTAAACATTCACACCTAACTGCAGCAGGGAAGAGCTCCTTGCCCCACCCCAGCCATTCCACAGATATATAAACCCATTTTTCCTACTTCCAACAGACCTCACACCTCTGAGGATGCTTGCCATAGATGCAGGCGAAACGTCAGGAGAAATGCCTCTAGAACATGGCTCTATAGCCCGAAAAAACCCACAAGAACCTAGAAGTAATATTGGCTATGGCTTGACAATAATTATATGTGTGTGTGCGTATGTATGCATATATATGAAAAGAATCTAG